AAACAACTTCTGCTGCAAGCAATAACCATCTCCTGCTGACGTACAGCACTCAGCTGTGCTGCACAAAGCAACTAAGTTTGCTTTACCGGGGAATAAAGGACCACCTAGAGCCTGGGCAGGCGGGTGGGCCCAACCGAAGAAAAGTAGATCTTCGAAGTGAACCGGTTCAGTGTCAGCTGCTCTTCAGAGTTACCGGTTCTATAGAACCGGGCCGAACAGGTAGAATCCCACCCCTGAGTGTAGCCAAGCATCTCCATGCTTCTCTATTTCCTTTTTTAGAATCCTTCTGTTCAAACAATGTTTATGCATTATTATGATAGTTATAAATTTCTTCTGGCTACTGGAACTGTCAAATTCCTTCTCTCTTCCCCCAGAAGTGAGGTTAATTCCATCCCTGTTAATGTTTTGCATGTCCCTCAAGACTTGGTTGTGTCTTCAGGCCCAAGACTCCTCACTGGTGACCAGGCAGATTTTGTAGAGGTTCTCACGCTATGACTAACATTACCTTCTCTTGTTCTTGTGCTTTTCATGGGTTTTTAATAATGAATGTTTTTACATATTTATTAGACTTTTCAAATTGTTGTTTGCTACTCAGTTATTTTTTTTTTTGTGAAATGGACAACTGTACAAATCTGACAGATAAAGAAAAAGAAAGGAAAGGAGAGGAAGTTGAGGTTTCTGAGTAACATAAAAGATCTCAGTGAAGGACACAGCATTGGCGTCTATGATGGAGAGCAGCTCACTGAAATGAAGCACCGCAGCTAGATAGATAGAACTGATAAAGAAACCTCTGGCTTTTGCTGCTTTAGGCCTGGCACTTTGCAAGGTGGAAAATCCACCCCCATTTTCTTTATTTCAGGCTTTAGAACGATTGTTCTTCTATAAAGCCCAACTTTATATTGAGGGAAGACCATTGGCTGATTGCTGTGTTCTGCCTGATCGTCGAGTTCTCTTGGGCTGTTCCCCGATTAGATCATCGTCTTCTCTTTGGGGTAAATGAGCATTTGCCTCGGAGAAGCCATGTCCGAGAGAGCCACAGAATAATTGCTTTGTCACCTAATGATGTTTATGCTAGATTAGCCAACATTGCATTCTGGTATTTCAGTTTTCTGAGAATGTGAACAGGACTATAGCAGATGGTGGTGTGTGGGAGTAAAGAACGGTATTTTTTAGCAATAACTGGTTCTGACATATCTTATTTTTTCCGTCTAATTTAAATAATTTTCACAGAGGTCAATGTGAAAAGTGTTTGCAAGGTGTGGAAATAATTTTGCTCTTTTTAATAGCAATAGCACTTAGACTTATGTACCACTTTATAGTGCTTTACAGCCCTCTCTAAACAGTTTACAGAGTCAGCATATTGCTCCCAACAATTTTGGGTCCTCATTTTACCCACCTCAGAAGAATGGAAGGCTGAGTCAACCTTGAGCCTGGTGAGATTCGATCTGCCAAATTGCAGACAGCTGGCTGCAGCAGAAGTAGCCTGCAGTACTGCACTCTAACCACTGCGCACCGAGGCTCTTCAGACTTTTTCCTTTCCTTTCATATGTGACTTGGCTTACTTCCTTGAGCCATCTGGAGCTAGCTGCTCTGCCAGCAACTTTCAACTGTGCCTTCTTCTCTTTCCCAGTGATGCTGGTACCCTGATTTTTGCACTGCACAGAGTGATCTCTGAGCTGTAGGGGGTTGCTGTTGGCAGCGAACTGGTCTAAGTAATCTTGACTCCAATCAGCTTCCAGCTCATCTTGCATGTTTGCTTCAGTGCTTGTCTGGAATTGAAATTCTTTCATTTCCACAAACCTCAAAGGTACCATCACACAAGTTGAACATCAATTTCTCTCATGTGATTGTGCCATAGGGATTATGGAATTAAAACCTAAACTTTAGCACCAAGAATAGTGGCAAAATCTATGGGTTATTAGGTAGAGTTTCTATCACCTTCAGCATTTCTTGAAAATAGTCTTGTTTATTTATTAAATTTGTATGCTATCTGTCTCACTATCCAAAGTGATTCTCTTATCATAGATGGTGCATTTTCAGAATAAAATGTAGTGTTCTTGTACTTCCCAGAATTGCCTTGCTTACACCTATATTTTGATGCAGGAAACTAAGCAACAAGATAGTATAAATCTAATTAAAAGAATAAACTTTGTTCCCTTTCCAAATATAGACCCCTTCCAATTCTGGCTTCATTTGCATGCATGACATGACCCTGTCCATTTTGTATCCTTATTTAATTCTCTCTACCCTCTACTCTGCCATGTGTTTAAGTTTAAGGGTCTGGCTGCCAAAAGATGGATTATCCCTGATGGGCTAATATTTCAGGGTGAACAGTGTCTTAAAGTTGCCAAGGTTGGACACCCCTGATCTAGAGAAATGGCAAAAAATGTGGTCTCAAAATTATAAAATGACAATGTCAACAGCATATAAAGAAAATTTGTATAAGATGTTTTACAGGTGGCATTTTCCCCCAACAAGAATAGCAAGAATGTTCAAGAACAAATCTGAAAAATGTTGGAAATGTCATCAGATACCTGGCTCATATATTACCATATGTGGTGGACTTGTGCAGATGCCAAAAAATATTGGACTAAAATCCACACGTGGTTAGAAAAAATGACAAAAAAGCATATAGACTTGAAACCAGAGATATTTTTATTGGGAATTTTACCTGAAACATATAGTAAAGAATTGAAATACCTGATTGTAAATGTATTAACAGCAGCTAGGATTGTATTTGCCAAAAACTGGAAAAATGGGAAAATACCATCACAGGAGGAAATTATTAAGAAAATCTTGGAATGTGCTGAAATGAGTAGATTGATATTTGAAATCAGAGAACAAGATGATAAACAATTTTATAAAATTTGGGATCTATTCTAGCAAAGCTGGCTGAGGAATTCTGGGAGTTGAAGTCCACAAGTCGTAAAGTTGCCAAGGTTGGACACCCCTGATCTAGATCAATCCCATATCCAAAATTCTTCCCCCAAGCAATCATAGTTTCTTTAACTTGTTCTTCTTCTAGTTTAATTTCCAATAAATATCCATACAATTTTTTAATCACCTTTTCATCAGTACCTGTCAAAATCTTATCTAAGTCTGTCAGTTTATCATAGAAACCTTCTGTTTTAGAATCTTTGTCATACCTTGAATGTATTTGCGCATATGAAAACCAATTCATCTTTATACCTTGTTCCTCTAATTTTTGCATAGATTTAAGTTCACCTTTTTCATTCAATATTTCACCATATCTCACTGTTTGTTCCTTTTTATATATTATAGGATAAGAAAATGCTTCAATAGTCGATAGCCAGACTGGAATTTTCAAATAACATTGTCTTTTAATCTTCTCCCAGTTTAACCACAGAGACTCCCGTATATAATGTCTTCCGTGTCCCCCTTTCCTGATATTTTCCAACACCTGGAAAATTAGAATTGTTGGTAAAACATTATAGTTATGAAAACTTTGCAGACGGCTAATACATTGTGGAATTCTCTAAACTAAAATTGAAAGTAAAGGAATAACGTTATAGAACAATATCATTCCTTTAGTGTTCTTTTAGTGCTTCTAAAATAAAAGACCTAACTTAAGTCAGCTGTTGGGGATGCTGCTTTCCAACTGCAGCCCTGACTTCTATTTTTGTTTTGTTTTGTTTTTAATCTCAAATATGGGGGATACTCAAATATCGGAAAATAAGTAAATTACACAGGAGTGGTATTGTCTGGTTCCTATCCACTAGAGCAGTGCTTCTCAATCTTAATAACTTTAAGATATGTGAACTTCAGCTCCCAGAATTCCCCAGCCAGCATGATTTTCTTAAAGTTGCTAAGGTTGAGAATTCTATCTGGTGGGGCCCAGGAAGAGAGCCTTCCCTGTCACAATATCCTTCTTTAGAGATTAGACTTGCCTTGATCCTGCTGGCTTTTGGCAAATCAGGCTGGGCCATTCCTCTGTGGCCCTGGCACTATGGGTGAGCCCATTTCATGTTGACTTAAAATGGGAGACATTGGATATTCTCAACAGCTATCCTATGCTACTGTTAGAGCGTTTTCTTGGTTTGTTTTTCATTTTGGCTTGTTTATCCTATTTTTATTTTGTATTTAATTGTTAGTCATGTATATCTGACCGGCAGTCATATACATTTACCAAATACATACATAAATTCATTCTGATTCCACATAAAAGGCTAATGGTAGAATTAAATGGGCAGCTCTTAAAAGTAAATGATTAGCTTTTATGTAAAAGGAAATGAGTGAACAATGTATGTTTTAACAAAAAGATCAAAAGTATTCACATCTTTTTGTTTTATTGTGTTGCAAACCAAATTGTAAAATTACATGGAGATGTTTAATAAGCATTTTCTTGGGATTTTCCTTAATCATTGATTATATATGCTGGTGTAGTTTGTTTATAAATGTAGCTGGTTCATTAGTCAATGCAAAAAATGTTTACATAAAATTGCTAATAAAGTCTGCAGAAAATCTCTAGGCTAACATCTTGTTTGGACAATGTCAAACACAATTTCAAATCCATAAGCTTTTCATTTATTATTTGGAAGTACGTTTTAGTTTGGGTTTAGAGAAAAAAATTATCCCATGGTGGCAGGTGGAGAACTTAAAGTCTTGCCCTGTTGAATCCATTTCTTTAGGTGATTTCTGTAGTGTTTGAAGGATAGAATGTGCCCTGGAAGAGGGAGGGAGGAACGATGAAAGATTTCTGTATTGTTTTAAGAACATTTCATAAACAAAACAGCCATCTTGTGAGAGATTGTGGGAAGGCTGGGAAAGTAATGCAACAGAAACCAGGTGTGAACAATCTAGAAATAGAAGGCCTGTTGAGGGCTTATCAGCAAACTTGATGGCAGTAAACCTAGAAGCAATAATTTCAAAGTATAGAGAGAATCTCTGCCTTAATAAATGAATGATGGTTAGAAATAAGAAGGAAAATTAACAGAGACCAAAGTGTAGTTATGCCAAAATCTTATTCTTTCTTTCTGCAGTTATAAGAGTGTGGTGACCCCCAAACGTGCAGGGGTTGCTATTGGATGCTGCTGGCTGATCTCCTTCCTTGTGGGCATGACTCCGCTATTTGGATGGAACGCATACGCACAGAGAAACAACACCTTCAACGGCACTTGCCAATTTGACAAAGTCATCAGAATGGAATACATGGTGTATTTCAATTTCTTCGGATGGGTGTTGCCTCCACTGGTCCTTATGCTCATCATCTACATAGCAGTCTTCAAGATCATTCGCAAACAACTCAGCAAAAAGTTTGGATCCAGTTCAGCATACCCAGAAAAATATTACGGGAAGGAACTGCAAATTGCCAAGTCTCTTGCCTTGGTGCTATTCCTTTTTGCTCTGTGCTGGCTTCCTCTGCACATTTGCAACTGTATCAACCTATTTGTTTACAAACTAGATTACGAAAAGCATTTGCACATCATCACCAGTATTGCTATATGTATGACTCATTGTAACTCAGCCATGAACCCCATTGTTTATGCATTTAGGATTAAAAAATTCAGGACCACATTCCTGCAAATCTGGAACCAATATTTTTATTGCAAAGTGGACAGGAATATAAATAATATTGGAAATTCTGACATTGCTATTTAGGAGTTATGGACTGCAGTGTTTGGGGCTGCAGCCTTCAAACTGTACAGGATGATCTGTAAATATTGCTTTCATTGTCCATTGTCTCTGAGCAGGCAAAGCTCAGAGGCAACCAAAAGTATTATTTATTACTTCTACTAGCAATATTCATTGTACCACTTGGTATTCTGTTCTTAAGTTGATATATATTTACCTATTTAAAGGGGAAATATACCAACAAAAGCTGTGACATATCTTTCATTCCAATAAAGAGGAAATTAATCTCTGTGGTTTTGTTTTCCCTGTAGTGATTTGCAATATACTGTAGTAAATGTTGAAGTCTTCAACAGTTATATAAGACAATCCAGAGGAAAAAAACAAAGAGAAATATGGGGAAAAAACCTTGTCTTCAATAATTGTAAAACATGGGCACTATCTATGTTTAATATGGACAAGTATAATAACTAATAAGAGTTTGTATGAGCAACATCAGAGAAGCATTTCATATCCTCATATGTTCAGCAACTTAGTGCCAGTTGCAAGCTTATTTCAGTAGTCACTAATTATTATGGGACTTTTTTTTGCTGCCATAAATCTTTACACATACAATACCAGAATAATTCAATACATCAGCAAAACTCCAACTGAATAACAGACAACAGTGGGTTCTGCCAACTTGGTGAGATTCAAAAAGATCTTAACTCCATCAAGGAGCTAGAGCAGAGATCTTCTCTGTGGTGGTTCCCCTCTTCTGGAGAAGTATGTCCCTGAAGATAGGGTTGGCCCATCATTGTTGTGGTTGCTGATATCTATTAAAACTTGAGTTTTCTAGACAATCTTTGGGGCAAATAAGCTGTGATGGTCCTGAGTACAGGCAGTGCCAGTTGACTGTCAAATCAAATATTTGCTATGGTCAAAAACCAGCATAAGGAGAATGGGGTACAGTTAATTAAAATAATGAAGTAATACCTCAAAGTTTTTAAAAATGATATTAATTATAAAAAGCTGAAAACTATAAAATAAATATACTGTATATATAAAAACAAAAGCCCAAAAGGGGGATGAAACATTAGATTGGTGAAGGAGGGCATACAGTTAATATATGGCAAACTAAATCTATTACAGATCATCTGGTGGGTTTTAAGCACTGCTGTGGGAAACCTGGCAACATTGTGTGTTGTGTAGTAGGTTAGTATCTGAAAGCAGCAGGGAGGTATAGAATTGGCTTGTATGCCCTTGGAATTTATGCAATAATATTGAGATGAGGCCAGTACAGGGGTTTCCGTAATACAGGCACCAGAGGAGTAAAGGCTCTGTTGTTTCTATGAGTTCAGGGTCACAGGGGCATCGCCTCTCTAGATAGGGAATTTTCTTGTATCCGTTCTCAAGGACAGCTAACAGGGAGTGACATTGTACTATACAGCGTAAAGACACTCTGATGGTTAGGCACTTTGAAATTAGTTAAGTATGCCATGGGGGAGGCATAGTAACCTGTTGGATTCACTGGCAATAAAGTTTGGGTACCTTGCTAGGTCCAGTTGACCGTGGGTTATGACATTTTTCTAATTTTGGATGGTGGGAATTGATTGCATTTTATTTTAGTACTGACAATGTAAATAATGCAGAGCTGTTATCAACTGGAGTGCCATATAAGCAGAAATAAATAATAAACAAACAAATTACTAAATACATCTTGGAGCTTTTGCTATCTCTTTGCTGCTACCTAATGATCGTGTGGAATTTTGCTACCCATATCTAGTAGCCCTTGATGCCAAGGAATTGTTTTAGGATTTCATTTCAAGTTTTCTCTTTACAACAATACAGTCTATACTAAATTGGATATGAACAGTTCTAAGGACAGTTTGATATCTTAAGATAAAAATGCTTTTACAGAAATGCAAGATTAAGGTGTTAAATTAATTGACCATTTGCTTCAAATCTGCCACCTTAATGTACCGGTAGACATCTCACTTTGTCAAGTAATAACATACATCTTCACATTTTGAATGCATGCTTCATGATTGCAGTTAACCTTGCAGTCAGGGAAATTTTTATACTCTATTAATTTGTTCCAGTGAGCTTCCTAGAAGTGAATAACTGGAAGAAGCAGGTCTTCCATTCCAGATGTTGGATTACAATTTTGAGAATCTTAGATGATTGGCTATGTTCAGGAGAAAGAGGTCAACAGATTATTTTGTAACTGATCTAGACATGCAGATGATATTAAATTCACTTTCCCTACATATGAGGAACAATTTACTATGGATAGTTCTCACTTAATGGCCAGTTGCTTATTGACCAAAGTTATGATGGACCCCCAGAAGTACTTACAGCCCAGTTTCAATGGCCACACACCTCCCCCATTATCATGTGGTTGTATCTTGGGCCCTTGACAATAGCCTTGCATTTAGTGCTATTTTTATTGTTCTGCATTCATATGACTGCATTTTTCGGCATTTTCTGCTGATTTCCCAAAATTTCTGAGGTTTCTGAAGATCCTTGGAGCAAGTCAGACCAAACCAGTTCTATGACAGCTTTTCTTCGGAGCTTTCGGTATGCCCGAACCGGCCCAATCTGGTAGCATCCCACCCCTGGTTTCCTCTAAATCAAGCGCAGCTCCTAGTAACTTCATAGATGCCTCCATGTAGTTACTGGCAACAATATTGAAGTGGTTTCCACTCCTTCCTCTGGAGTATTTGTTCTGCTTCTCAGGGAAACCTCTAGACCAGGGTTGTCAAATTCCTGGCCCGCAGGCCTGATGCGTCACATGCTGGCCATCCCACACCCAGTTTAGTGAAGGGGAACGTCCTGATACGTCACGTGATGCCACCATGATGACGTGAGTTTGACACCCCTGCTCTAGCCATACAGTTCCTCACCTGAGTCCAGGGTGCTGCTGGGGGTTTGCAGGGGTTCAGGAGAGCCCCCTGCTAAAATTCTGTGCAGTTTGGAGAACCCCCAAATCCCACTCCTGGCTGGCTCCCTCCCAGGAGTCCCCACATGGCCCGTTTTGATGCAAGTAAGTGTAGGTTGAACGCGGAGGCTTGAGCAGGGCAAAAAAAGGGCCTCCCGGAAGTTTAGGGAGGCCGGAAATGGGCTCATTTTTGGCTTCCAGAGAGCCTCCAGAGCCGGGGAGGGCAAAAATACCTCCCTGTAGTACAGAAGGTCGACTAGGCTACGCCCACCATAGCCACGTCCACCCAGCAACCGGGCAATCTTTTGCTAAAATTTTTGAGGCTTTCACCTGCCTGAGTTCTAACCAAATGCAACCCTCCTGGGTAGCTTCCAAGCCTAGATGAGGTCAGCTCAGCACTTCAACCTGCTGAGCCTCTTATGAGTTTAAGGATGACAAATGGGGAACTACCGTAATTGTGTGGGGGGGAATAAAGAATCACAATGCAAACAATATCTGCTGACAAACAAATCTTACCTAACCAGTGGCCGGAAAGAAAAGCACAAGTCCTGAATATTTTTGTGTGAACAAACTTCCCCATTCTCCAGAATTCAAAAACTCCTTTCCTGTCAAAAGAGGAAATTTTCCTGGGTGTAAGCTGTCAGCTGTTCCAATGTTTATCAACAGCAGTGGTAGCTAAATGATTTGAATTTTGAAGTGAAAATATTTCTTCCCTCTCTCTCTGGCTAAAGAAAATAGATACATTCTCTGCTGTTACCTTCATATTTGGAAGGTGCATTCTATTTCACTGCTCCCAAATATTGTAAAGCAAGAACTCTTGTCTGTGAGAGTTCCTTCAATAAAGGTATCCTGCTCTACCATTCAAATCAACAGCAAAACCAGTAACTTCACAACAACTTCACAACCTCCCCCCTTTTCCTTGGGAACCAAACATCAACCAGTCAATTTAAATTATGGATAGAATGGAATGAACTGAATTAAGCAGTGTAATGATTTATACTTAACAGCAGTTGAAATCATTGCAAAAAAAGTGGGAAAGAGTCACTCAGCCAGTTAAGCACTTCTGAAACCTCAAAAAGCACTTTGTCTTATGTATTCATTTCTTTTATAGCTTGAAATGCTGCTTTCAGGATAAAATCCCCAATGAAATCAAAAGCACTTACAATAGGGTTTAACTTTGGTGGCCTATTCAATTTGTTTCTTTGCTCCTTCCAGAATTATGCATGTCAGTTCAATGTGGGTTGGAATGCTGCAATGAATCAATTAAAAAAAATAGAAAGGTCAGAGCACAAGATCAACGAATATTCTTTGAAGTAAATATAACAATGCTTGTAATAAAGGGAGGAGATGGCTTCTTGTGGCACCCTAAACAACTCCAGTATTTATTATGATATCTCCTTTTGTTAAATAAGAGCCAAAAGGGCAATGTTGTATAGTATTTAAGGAGATGAACTTGAGCATAAAGTTAACTGATTGACTTTAGTTACTTGCTCTCACAGCGCAACCAGACTTAAAGGGTCTTGTTGGGATAAAATGAGAGGAGACCTCCCACTCCTATGTACACCCAACTGAGCTAATTAACTAAATACTAAATAAAATTGTTTATTGTCAGTTGGTAGATACATTCAGTTGATAGTTCCTTCTTTGGATATATTGAGAAAAAAAATGCTGTAAAACCTATAAAGGGTACCAACTGTAAAAATATATTTATACAAATTTCACATTTTTCTGCAAAGGTATACATATGAGCTTTGTATAGAAATCTAAGTTATACTTATCTACTTGTGACATTTCATAGCCTTTTACACAGAACTCTTCTTGTAGATGACTCTCATATATAATAGCTGTTTAATGCTGCTGTTTGCCTTCCTTTCACTGTATATATTTCAGTTCTGATATTTCTATATATGTATGTCCACATCACAGAACTGATGCTAATCATGATCTTTGGAAGGAAGTTTATTGTTGACCAGATTTGCACACTATGGACAATTAAGGGAATTAGTAAACAATTATTATGGTAATTTTCTAGTTTTAGGCATATCCAGGAATAATCATATCACAACAATGCTTAATTTTTCTTATTGATGTGATATGATTGATGTTGTGATATGATTATTCCTGGATATGCCTAAACTAGCAAATTAACTCAGCTGAATGACATGATCATTATACCAAATTATAACTTTCTTGTATCTTTTGAAGAGCAATTCCCTGTATTAAATGTTAGCTCATTATTGTATGCAATTGCTATTAGAAATTAATTCATGTAAGTCATCTTCATGGTGAAGTTGTGGGGGAGAATTTGGAAGTTGGAGTTTTTGGATGAAAATGGGATATAAATTTAACAAATAAAGAACAGAAGATTTTGATGGTACTTAATGCTCTTCTATTAGACATTCAGAAAATGGACATGTAATCGAAGTCTTTTTGAATGAGTTCTTATGAAGTAGTGTAGGCACTTAACTACTAAATGCATCTCTTAAGCTGCAGAATATCCTTCCTGTTGTCAAGAAAACT